AAAAACTCTTTTCAAAACCACAGAAACACAGGAGACAAACTAAAAACCACAACAATCCAACAGGGGAGACAAGCCACGACACCAAATATAACGAGAAGCTAACGAGGGGTAATGAGCCACACCTGGGGAGAAACAAGAAATATCAGGTAAATGTGGGAGGAGCCAGAGCAGACTGTGACAGAGAGTAAAAACTGACAGGGAATGCAGAAACAACGTACAAACAGGAAAAACAAACAACATATTTTGCTTTAAATCACTTTAAAGTTTGAATTAAACTAAAAATAATTTGAACATGAAATGTGTTTTTAATGTAAACACAAATCAATAGTCAGAATATAGTCACAATGTTGTTTTAGTTCCTTCAGTTAGTCAGTTAATTTTGTATCTATAGTCTAGGAGCCTAAATAAAAATGAAGATGTGTCAAAAAGTACCTATTTCTACATAAAAAATACCAGCCAAGTTCAACACCATCATCATATTGCTTTTTTTTTTTTTTTACATATTTCACAGCTGGCAGCAACGTTTTACTTTGAAGAAGGATTTTTTTTAAAACGACTCCATTTCCTAATTACAGTATCTCACTGGATGTTTACCTTGTAACACTGAATTATTTTAGAAGTGTGATGCGCATCATCACATTATTAATTCTCACCTGGAATTGTTTCTTCTGTGAAGAAGCAGGTTTCCACCTAATTAGGGCGGACTAATTACCCTGAGAAGGTATCAACCAGGAAGTGTTGATGCTGGGTCCATCCACTCTGTGCTGGCTTCATTAAAAGTTCTGTCTGTGTGAGGAGACGCTGTACTGTAATCAAAGCAAAGTTTGACAAAAGTTTAAATTTCCTTTTTACTATTTCAAAAATGAAAGAAAAAAATCTGAACACTGGAGTATGGAATAAACAAAAAGGTGAGAGTAAGAATGCAAAATGTTTTAACCTTAAAGTTGTTGGTTTATAATTGTACCTCCTCTGTGTTGTTTTAATGACCTTCCCCGAGGAATTCATTCCTTTTTTTATGAGCTTTGAGTTTCTTACTTTCTCCTTACTTCCTGATTACAGTTTCAGCTGTTTAATATGTTTCTGTGCCTTTGCATTTTCATAAACTCACATTTTTACTTCCCCACTTCCTCCACTTCATCTGCTTGGTGCACTCACCAGTGAAATAATGTTATTATTAAAACATGATGCAACTTGAAATGAGCTGATGGGATATTTATAAAGAAACCCTTTCTGTTTAATCAGGTAAAATATACTGTAGCTCATTGTTCACACTCTAAAGTCATGGCTGGGATGAACCCCCCCACACACCCACCCAAAAAAAAAAAGAAAAGAAAAAGACCCTCACTTTGAAATCTAAGCCTACCCACCAGAACATGATAAT